AGTTTTTTGGGTGAGATCTCATTATGGCCATGCACCAGAATTGCAATACATAAGGCTTCCAGAAGCTGTTAAGTCGGCAGAAACATTTGAACTTATTTTGGGCATCCCAGCATCAAGGTATTTTCATTTTATAATATGTATTGACAGCAAATTCATTGACTTTTCAAGTTATGTCTTGTACCTATACCGACACCTATACTTTTGATCTAAAACATTGTTGGTCTCAAAAATTTTAGTTTTCAACTTCGAGAGTTTTCTTAATCATTTGTTCAGTCACATTCAAACTAAGGTTGTTAAGAAAAACATTTCTCGTAAACCATGGTCATTGATAAAAACTGTTATTATTTAAATTACTTGATGGTTGGTCTTATTGACAGAGCTACTGTTTATTTTTTTTTTGATTTTGGATTCCGATAGAGATATGCTGCCTTCTGATATAAGCGGACTGATCAACTGGATCGTGAAAATATCCTCACAAGAAAAGGCATTTCTAATATTATGGTGTCTTATCATATTAACATCTCGGAAGAGGTTTAGGATAAAAATGATGCTGTATTTGTTGACCTTTGGATAAAGCAAAGTGAGAAAGATGAATGTAATCCGGTGTTGTTCTGTAAAAAACAGGGTGTGGAAGATGGTGTTTATAGTTTAAGGGTATCTGATTTTTGTTTAGTTATAATGACCAGTTTCCAAAAGAATATGTTAGACAAATTTGGAAATAACATCATATCAGTAGATGGAACTCATGGATTAAACAATAAATTATGACTTTGAGTTAACAACTATATTAGTGGTGGATGAATTTGGCGAAGGACTTGCCGTATCTTTCATGTTTAATAACATAAGAGACACTTACATTAACTAAGTATTTTTAAGTCTAATCAAATTAGATGTTGGCAATATCGTTGCAAAAACATTTACGACTGATATCGTTGTTACATTTTACAGTGCCTGGTGTTCAATAATGAGTCCAGTTCTACACCAACTACTTTGCTCATGGCATGTTGACCGTGCTTGGCAACAAAACTTATCGAAAATCAAAGATCAGGGTAAGAAGAAAGAACTTTAGAAAACTATAAAGTTTCTTCAGCAAAATACGAGTTCTGACGAGTTCATGAACTTTTTAGAAAAAAACTATACACCATCTACTTTCAGATGTTGATACAAAAGATTTGGGCATTTACTTTAGCAAACATTACATGGAAAATTAAAATGGGCCTAGTACTTTAAGAGAGGCTGTGGCATTAACACGAATATGAGGCTGGAATCAATACACAATGTAACAATATCTAAGTGGTTACATAAAAGTATATATGCATTATTAAAATTTGCGAGAGATAAATATATTAAAAGGAACATTAAAAGAATCGAACGAAAACATACAGTACACATAAAGAAAATTGGCTTGAGGCATATGACTGCAGAATGTAGTGATTTCATTACTGAAATGAACAAAGAGGCAGAATGAATTGTTGGCTGATAGTCAAAAGAACTATATTGTGTAAAGAAGAACAAAAATGAGCCTTTTGCGATTTAATATGTAGTACATGTAATATCTGCTACCATACTTATTTGTGCACATGTAACGACTTTATTACAGCTAGCTCAATTTGTAAGCCTATTCATTATATTGAAATGAAATATTATAGTGTAAAACAAAATACAGAGAATAAAGAGAGGTAAGAAAATGTTCAGTTAGTTAGGTGTACCCAAAATAAATTCAATGTCTTGAAAGAAAGAGAATTTGAGAAAACCAAGACTTGTTTTCTGATATTTCAACTAAGTCATTTCTTCCTATCAACAGTCAAACTGAACCAGCAAATAAAAAAATCTCAAAGCAAAAAAATTTCTATCAATCAATTAGGAAACGTTGTGGATTATAGTTTTCCCCCTATTCTCAGGAACTTTTCTATTGTTAGTGGATAAAGGCATATTAGGTAATGAAATATAGATAAGTCAAATACATCATACCATCGCACCATATTTTTAAAAAATAATTAGATATTTCACTCCCAGTCTAATGGAAACAAAATAAAAAATGTACAACAATTCGTACAATTATGTCTGAGTTAGTAATCCGATAATCCGACCCGACTTCTTATCGCCTAGGTTGGGGCAGGTCAATGAAGATTGAAAAGACCTTGCCCGCTTGAATGCTTGAATGCTTGAATTGTGCCTTTATGACTTTTGTTCTCATGGACTTTTAATGTTCGAAACACATTTTTTTAAATTTTTCTCTTTTCTAAACAAAGATAGCTTGCTATTGGTAAATTGGCAAAAAGCAAGTAAAATTGATGACAAAATGAACGTAAAGGAAAAACGTTATTTGTTACTCGACCCAAATTATGTAGGTATATTATTTGGTAATGGTTATGGGCGACTTCCGACTTGAGTGAAGAAAAATAAGTATATTTTAAAGAGAACTGAAAATTACTAGCTTTTAATGTTGAAACAAATCCTCAATCAACAGAGTTGGCATACAGAAAAACCCATTTCAATAACCCAGTGGGTTTGAGTTTTTGACACAAAATCCCACTCATACAGAACTCATTCCTACCATAGTGCCAAATGTCACTCCAAAATCTAAGATTATTGACATTTTTCTTATCTATATCAGAGAAAATTAAAATCCTAAAATAGTTAACTGATAGGTATTAATCGAACAAGTCTTAACAGGTTTGTGGAGCATTTAATTTGCTTTGATTAGAGCTTAATTGTATTGAAATCGGATGAAAATGAACGGAGCTGTGAGGCAAAAACTGTCTCAAGTGTCATTTTTGGAAAATTTTCAATGTTCGATAATTTCAATTTGAAGCTTTTCAGGTGCAGAGCCGTTGAAACCAAATTGAAAGCTCAGTTAATAGGTTTGTAGATAATTTAATTAGCTTTAATGGGAGCCCAATTACGTTGAAATTAGATGAAAATTAAAGAAGCTGTGAGGCAAAACCTGTCGCAGTGTCATTTGTCGAAAATTTTGACGCATCAGGTACAAAATTGTTGAAACAAATATACAATTTCATCTAGTTAGGTGAGCACAAAAACTATCACAATAACCCAAAAACCCAATAGAAATTTCAAAAAATCCAGTTTTTACCAGCTCTGTCGATCAATGAAATAATGCATTGACTAATGATCAGTTAACTGCAGGATTGGGAAATATACCTACTAATTAACTTTATATGAAGTTTCATAATAATCTATGCTTATTAATATTATATTGAAGTAGGTACTTTAAGACGCGAAAATAAAATAAAATCAGAAATTTAAAAAAAAAACTGCATCAGGAGTAATCGAGGCCCTATATGGTTGTAGATATAACATGATACATGCGCTTCAACGCATGCAAAACTCTCGACTGTTGTTGTAAGACACTCACTCATGATCACTTCTGTGAAATACAAAATAGTAGTGCATTTGAAAAAGACAGAGAGTAACAAATCATTTTTGGAGGCTCTTTCCATAGGCGTGCAGTACATATTTCCCATTATATCGACCCACTAGCAGTATCTCGTTAGTGCAAGTAAAAAAAGTTACTTTTCCATGAATTTGACTGAAGAAAATGAACAAAGTTTGACAACTCTAAAAAAATTAGCTGAAACTAAATTTGACCAAGAGCATTAGAAATCATTCTTACTAAGTTTAGACAACATTCTTCGAACTTTTTTTCGAACCACTCTGTATATTTCAAAATAATTTGTAAAAGTCTTGGTAAAAGTAGTTCTTTTTCACAGTATTACATAGTAATACGAAATTTTTGGCATGGAGGTCACCTATTAACATTCCTCTTCCATTTCTCGGGAAGAAGGCCCTAATCTCCCCCGAAATCCACAATCTGTTTTCAATTCCTATCGCTATGTGTTCAATGTTCGATATTATGTTGTCGATTCATTTAAATTTGATACAGTTGTGTATAAGGCAGGCAACTCCGCCTCCCCTACATAAGGGTGTTTTTAACTGTACTAGGAGGACTGTAAATTTTATTTAAAAACTGGGCATGATATAGAGAAAAGTGCAATAAAATGGAAACAATGATTATAATGGTTGCTGAAAGTTACAATAAAGATTTATAATAAAATTTTACTAGACAAACTGATCAAATTCTGTAACTTTTTGATTAATTAATTGATTGATTGTCGCCATAGATTGTCACACTCAAAATAATTGTCACTGGTCTTCATCAATGTTCTTTTTTTTTTCACCTGCATATGGCTAACCACTATTAAGAGTATTAACTACCATAGCGTCGGGCGTTAACATGCCCCCCGCCTTGAAATCTAAAGGATTTTCAATTGGAAGCACACAAAGTCTATTGAAACTGCGTTTAAACATACCACTGGATGTTTTAATGGAGGCAACACGAGCAATGTTATCTGATCCTTTATGTGATGTCTCAATGCGACCTAACCGCCAATCAATTGGATGAGGATAATCGTCTTTGATAAACACTAAATAATCAACAGTTAATTGTCCTTTATTGGTTTGCCAACGATTGCGATATTTTTCCAGCGTCGCCAGAAGTGCTGAATTACACGCTGAACAAGTTGAAATCTGTTGAGTCGATTAACTGGTATATCAACCACATCCTTGTCTGGGACTGCTATCATCGAACGGCCAATCAGAAAATGGGCCGGCGTTAGTGGAATTAAGTCTGACGGATCAGGGGCCGCATTCCGTTCAAGCAAAAATGCGATCGAATAAAGGCGATGTCGCTAGCGACTCTATCAATCAGAACGATTCCGTTCAGCGATCGAAAATATTTTCGGCGGCGTTCGGGCAAGGCGATAATCTTCTGTCAAAATCTAGGAACTTTTTATTTTCTGTTTATTTTCAGTTACTTTTGCTGTCATAACAAATAACAACAACAATTCAATTTTTAAAATATTGATTTTTATTTTGGTAAATAAATATGAACTTGAAGTGATAAAAGTAATAAAAAATAAATTTGCTTCTCCATTATCAATCAGCCGAATTTTATCAATCATTTTATACTCGATATTAAAATGAGGCTAACTGGCGAACATCATGAAATAATAATAAGTTTTGCTGAAGCCCATCCGGAAATTATCACAAATAAATTTATGGGGCTCAATGCCAGACAAAACCAGGGTAAACTTTGGCAGAAACTGACGAACGATTTGAATGCTTTGGGATATGGTGTTTTAACTGTGGCCGAATACAAGAGGGTAAGGAAATATCCTATATTTTTTACAATAGTTTTGTAAAAACCAAACGGGTAAAGGTAATAATAACTAATAACTAACTAATAATAACTAATTTAATAATTTTGAAAGCCTGAGCTATGCATGTAACACAATATTTATCAGTAGTTCATAATATACCTACATATGGTGGTGCTCTAAATTTGTTCTATTCTGAAGTATCATGCATAGTGCATACTCAATTCCACTTAAGTCATGGTTAGTTGGGGTTATTAAAGTAATATTAAATTTATTTGTGATATAATGTGCCTATTACTTCTTTTATAGAGAATTACTGATTGGAAGAGTAAAACCAAGGGCAAAGCTGTAGATTTAAAGACGAACCTAACAAGGACTGGTGGAGGGGAAGGTTATCACTCTGGTCTCTCAAAAATTGAACAAAGGTTATTAGCCCTAATGGGCAATAAAGCCTATGAAGGTGACAGTGTGAAAGAGTTAGGATTTAAGATCCATCAATCAAGATCTGCAGGGGTAAATTCCCCTCTAGTTTGCCAAGATCAGATGCCTAAAGAAAAAAGACCAAGGCTTTGTGAAGAAAAATTACCCGTAACATCAAAGTTGCGCCCTTCCTCCTCTTTTGCTAAAGACAGTCAAAAAATCATATTGGAAACAAGTCAGACTGACAAACCCTCAAACAAACCTGCAACAGTAACTTCCGGAGTACTCTTCGGTTGCTCTACAAAGCAATTCATTTATCCATATGAATATGAACCAGAAAATAACGCCTTTGAAGATACATACACAGAAGATAACATTGTGGAAATTTCACAAGAAAATGAAGAAGAAAATGTAGATCCAGGCAGATGGAGCTTAACTGAACATCAGTATTATAAGACAGAAGAAACTGAAAAAAAATCAGAACCGAAGACCCCTTCTGCATCTACTTCAAGAAGAAGGAATTTAAGTCATATGAGCGAATCTATTCAAAATATGAACAATAAAACTCTTGATGTCCTGAAAAGTATTAGTACAAATTTAGAGGGTGTTAACGATAATTTAACAGGCATCAATCACAGTTTAAAAACCATATCTTCAGTTCTAACCAAAAAGTTCCTTAAAAACTGACCTAAATCAGTAGTGAATCAAAATAGAATATTATTGTTATTTCGGTTCTCTCAAAGTTGTACAATCTTGGTTCAAAACAGAGTTCAGCTGAAGTTAACTGGTAGGTACTTGAACTTTCCTATTTAAAATAAATTGCTGTCAGCTATTAATCAAATTCTATCAATTTCAATTCATTTTAAATAGGAGAGTTCAAGTAGGTACCAGTAAAGTTCAGCTAAACTCTGTTTTGAACTGATATTGTACAGTGTGGTCACTTTATCTTGATAACATTTCAAACTGTCATAATTTTTTATTTTTAAAGTTATTCAAATAAATAAAAAAAACATAGGTACTGTAGGGATGTTTTCCAAGTATTAGATGGGATGGACAAAAAAAAAACAAAAGACTAATATATTCTGACAGTTATGCACATAAATAACTCCTTTTTAAATGGAACACCCAGTAAATTTTCAATTTGCGGTGGGGTCATTTGGAAGCTGTTTGACCATATTTATTATTTATCCTCATGCAAAGTTTCGTCGTTTTTTGAGATATCGCCATTTTTATATATTTTGAATCCATGTATTTTAACACATAACTTGGGTCACATATTTTTTGTATCAACATTCGGTTTTTCTTTCCGTAATGTTTTGAAAGAATGTTCATTAGGAATGTCGGAACAAAAAATTGTTTGTTGTTACTACCAAAAAAAACAATATGTTTCAGGAACGATTCAAATATTTCCGAAAAATATCTAAAAATGCTGATATCTCAAAAACGACAAAACTTTACATGAGGGTAAATATGGTCAAGCAGCCTCCAAATGACCCTAACTGTCACTCATCGAAAACTCCTATCGATGTATGTATATACCAAACACCCTGCATATTACATTATATATTGCCAGCAGAATGAAACAGCAAATCGAACAAATTAAAATTTTAGTGCGATGGGTATGCCATTTGAAAAAATGCTATTTTTGTGCATAGCTGTCAAAATATTTGAGGTTTGTTTTTTGTCCATCCAATCTTAATTTGGAAAACAACCCTATAGTATGTTTTTTTACTTATTTGAATAATTTCAAAAATAAAGAAATTATGACAGTTAAAAATGTTATCATATAATATCACAAGAGAAAAAATTTTGTCGGCAAAATTTTCGAAAGGTATGAAAGTTTGTTGCTTGGCAAATTTAGCGAATGACATTTTTGACAAAATCACGAGCCGTCAGGCCGAAAAGCAACAAACTTCGATAAAACCTTGAGTACAATATTTTGTCTACACAATTTTTTCTCGAGTGGTATTCGTCATGACTATTTCAAGTAAGATTTTGAAAATAAATAGAATGCAAAATTATGAATAAAAACTTCAAATTAAAAACACCAGTTTGACAATGTCAAAAAATGGTCGCTGAAATACCATGTTGTTGGTATTGTCCAGGCAGCATTATTGTCAGGTGAATACCGAATTTATTGCCGGTGTAATACACTCTAGTGAAATAGTCAAGATAAAATGACTCCACACTGTACAACAATATTTTAGTAATAAATACATATAATGATAATGTTTTGTGTTAATGACCAAATTGTTATATTTTCAGTTGAGGATCGTGGGTATATTGGTCAAAGCTAAAAGAAACCAATTATTTGTATGCCGACGGTTTAGATTTTTTTATCCATCTTCAGGGATCTGTAAATAAGGAGGAAGAATGTGTCGGTATGATAGGTACAAGGCAAGTAATAAGTGAATTTATGGGAATTACAAAATACATCGGAAAAAGTATTAATTAAAACAAAAAAAGTACATATACTGTATACATGTCATAAAGGTTTCTAACTAAAAAAAATTAGGTATCGAAAAACAAAATAAAAATAGACAAGCAACCAAAATGAACGAAAAAAACAAGCAGACTTACCAAAATTGTGGTTTCTTATTGTAAGAAACCACAATTTCGGTAAGTCTGCTTGTTGTTTTTTATCTTCAATATTTTTTATAACCCTTATGACATGTAAACAATATACTTTCTTTTTGTTTAAATGAATAAATTTTTTTCGACATATTTTGTAATTGCCCATTAATCCACTTATTTGCTATGCACATCATAGACATGTTGCTTTCTCGTTATTTACAGAGCCCTGCCCTGAAAATGGACTAAATAAATCTTAAATGTCGGCAAAGAAAAAATTGCTTTTTTTTTAAATTTTGACCAATATACCCAGAATCCTCATCTGAAAATTGAATTGTGTTATTCAAATTTTTTTTTTTTTTGATAACCTTTAATTTCACATTTTTTTTTCAGTTATTGTATCCTACTAGTCATCTAGATTTAATTTTAGCTAGTTAACTAATCGATAACAATAGATAAGTGTTTATTTTTGTATCTGTGTATAAACTAAAACACAAAATAATACATCAAAATATTTTATTATATCCACTTATTAGTGTTTCTTTCCTAACAAAAATCTTATTGTGAATATATACTTAAATTAATTAATAAATAAATCAAAAATTCATTCAGTGCAATATGTATCAATTAACTGCCTTCTGGCTAAGAAGCCAACATCATTTCTTTGTGCTTGTATAGGATTCTGAACAATTGCAATATCGTCATGATCATTATTGGGCAAGGGAACATCAAAATTAGGCTCCAACCGGCCTCTTGTGCAAATATTATGTAACGCAGCACACGCAATAACTATATTTCCAACAATGTCTGGACTATACCGCAATTTCCTGTCATTGCACAGACATCTAAATCGCGCCTTAAATATTCCATTGCACCTTTCAACACACACCCTTGTTCTTACGTGACGCTCTGTGTATCTGAACTCAGGGCTTCCGGGAGCAGCATTTACTATGGGTGTCATCAAATATGGTTTCTGAGGGTACCCTGAATCCCCCAATAGCCAAGTGTGACGATGACCTAGAACAATTTTTCAAAATTAAATATCTACCTAGAGGAAGATAGGTATATGAAAGTGATATAAGAAAACGAGTCATGTGGACTCAACACTTATCTGATACTGTATCTTTATTTGGTTGTTTCTGTTATTTTGCAAGTGTTTCAAAAATCAGAAGAGAAATAGAAGTTATCAAATCTTTACCTTCATTGTACCTTCTTTCCATTTCTGTAGAAACAGCACTGTTTCTAAATATAAAGGCATCATGTACGGCACCCCCCCACTGAGCATTAATATTTAGGATTTCACAATCATAATTACAAACCTGAAACAGATATTGAAAAACAGAAAAATATGTCAGCTAGCAGAAAAAAAAGTAACTGTATTAGTAAGTATTAGTCTATCCTATTTCTAATTTGTCATATTGTAACTACTAATATGTTTTTTTTTGTAGGTATGTCTCTTAACTAAAAATCACATAGAATCTTTATCATACACATAAGTAAAAAGAGTTCCTCATTACCTAATGAAATACAGAATAGGGAGACCATAGTAACAAAACAATTTTCAATAAAACTTACAAATTGAACGTTTTTGGAATGATATCCTTTTCTGTTGAGATAATTGTGCTCCTGTTCCTTAGGGGCTAAAATTGGAACATGAGTACAATCAATGGCACCTAGTACACCAGGAAATCTTGTTCGTTCCATAAATCTTTGTTTTATTCTGTTTATGCTCTCCCTTGTTGTAGGATATACGATCCATTCTGGACAGATATGCTGAACAATCAGTGGAGTTACTTGTGCCACAATTTTTGATACAGTCGGTTGAGCAGTTGGGAACATGAAATTTTCACCCAGACGCCTTTGATATTCGCCTGATGCGTAAAATGCTAAGGTAATCAAAACTTTTTGCACTGGATCAATATTGAGTGGACTGTTTGTGGCTATGTGAGGCACAAGAACTGGTAGTAAGGTATGCTGTACCATTTCCTTGGTAAGCCGAAAATTGCTAATGAACTGCTCATCAGTTAGTGAGAATGGATCACTGTCTCCCCTTAACATTCGTCTCTCAATATTTAGGGCCCTCATAGCTTCTTTTCTTTCTTCATCTGCTAGTACTAGCTGATTGAAAATTTGTATAGGGAGCATCTAAAAGATTTAAAATCAACGTTAAGTCCTAATAATAGTCGTATGTTAGATTTCTTGATGATTGCCTGTAAACTCGAAATACAAAAAATAAGATGTTACTTACAGTCGTTCCTAATTTAAAACTTGTGAAGAACTATTATAAAAAAAATTACAGTTAAAATAAATAATTGGGGAACTTTTCTCAACTTGATACCTATTTTTTTGGAAAAATGAAAAATTAGTAAAATAACTTTAAAATAACATATAAATAAAAATATATATATATATATATATATATATATATATATATATATATATATATATATATATATATATATATATATATATATATATATATATATATATATATATATATATATATATATATATATATATATATATATATATATATATATATATATATATTAGTAGTTTTTTCTTGGGTTTAGGTTCATAAATGAAACGACTTTTTTTATTTCCTAACGTTTCGCCTTTAATTTAAGGCATTTTCAAAGGGATTATGTTTTTGTTGTTTAGCAGAAACTGCTAAACAACGTAAACAACTATGACATTCTTTGAAGAAATTCAACTAATTTACGGACTTGAAGCTTTAAATTGTGCAAAAGAACTTTCCAAATTATACACAAGGCTTACTACACAGAAAAACCGAAGAATATTCTTATTGAGATGCAAACACAACGAAGTTTTTCCTGTATTTTTGAAATTTAATGTAAAACATATAAAATTCACAGGAAAACAATCCCTTTGAAAATGCCTTAAATTAAAGGCGAAACGTTAGGAAATAAAAAAAGTCGTTTCATTTATGAACCTAAACCCAAGAAAAAACTACTAATATATTACCTACGGTTCAAGAAAACAAATCAATATATATATATATATATATATATATATATATAATAAAAAAATAACGTTAGTTTGTACACACACCTACATAGAGGAAGGACAAAAAGGCTTGGTATGTTTTGTCTTTG